GTCCAGCTTGAGTATGGAGGGTGGGAGGGGTAAGGGAAACCGAATGAATACAGGAGAGGAGTAGGTAGACCACCACTGAGGTCAGGTGTGGGAGGAGAACAGAAGGGACAGGGTAGGGCAAGAAACTGTCCAGAAACCCACCAAGGACATCTGGTTTGGGTTGGAGCCCAGGAGGACCCAGTGCTTTCTTTTATCCACTTCTATTCTCTGTGTGCTATTTCTCTGCACCAGAGAATCCTTTATTTACCGGGGAAATTCTTTATGTAGCAATACCTCTAGAAATTCGAACTGAAGTTATAGCATTGTTCGATAGAAAATGCAAGACATCAAGTTGAAGAGAGAGAACAATAGCAATTATGTAAAAATAATGTGTAAAATTAATTTGAAAGAATGCATCAAACACCGTCCTCACTCATTTTCTGAGTCGTAGAATTATCGTGATTTTTGTAAGCTTTTTTATGTTTTTTTCAATTGTTCAGTAATGATTTTTTTTCATAATGAAAAAGTTATTTAAAGAAGTGAATCAGGATTTATGCAGGTCTTTTTTTTAATTTTTTATCTTCAATATGTGGGCTACAATTCAGGGTGAGGTATACAAATATTCATCATGCAGGTCCCTTGTGGATGAGGTGTCCCTCCCCTCTCCTGGCCATTTCCCACTACTGCTAATCCCTTTCTTGTAGCATTACGATAGTTGTTCAAGGTCCACTTATGAATGAGAACACATGGTACTCCGTTCTTTGTGTCTGTGAGAGATCACTCAGTATTATCGACTCTAAGTCCATCCAAGTTGCTGCAAAGTTCATAATACTGTCCTTCTTTGTGAAGATGAGGAAGTTAGGTAGATAGCGATAATTTCTGTTTAATGGAAATTAGTTTAAATTATGCTTTTCTCCAGGAGAAGAAGAGGGGAGTAAGAAGGAAGAGCAGGTAAGAGGTAAGGGAGGTGGAGGACTCTGGAGAAATGAAAGGGCAGCCAGCAAACATGATTCAGCCCCTGCGAAGACAGAGGAAAGGGAGGGCAGACAAGCACAACACGGAAGTCAGGAGCCCCTCAAAGACTGACACTGACAAGAAAGCCCTGGAAATAAAATGAGCTTAGGGTTTGCTGTCAAACCAGCTGTGTCTCTGCCACGTGTGTGTCTTAGGACAAGCTGTGCATCTTAATTTGTGCAGTGGGAATAAAACCACCCATTTGGCAGGTGGTTTTGTGAGATCAAATTAAAGAAAAAAACTAGACTCTATTACTAAAATTTATCACCTCCTTAATTTTTGGTTGTGGTCAGCCCTTCTCTCTCGCTCTCTAGAATCCCAAGAAACCTTGCAGGAGAAAGGACCAGGTAGTTCCTGAACTTCTAGAACTCCAGCCTTTGGGAAAGGGAATCCAAGTCACCCATGTGGCTACAAGGCTCTCACACCCCACCTAGGAAAGCCTATAGGGCCAGGGGGCCCTTACTGTCTAACCTTGCAGGAAAGAGGACAAAAAAACAAAAACACTTTTTAAAAATGTCCTCTCTACTCAGCAAGTATCTGTGAAGTGATGAAATAAATGAATGAATGTATAAATTTTTTTTCCCCAGATAAACTTTTTTTTCTTTTCTTTTCTGTTTTCTTTCATTTTTTGGAGTTGTAGTCTCACTCTGTTGCCCAGGCTGGAGTGCAGTGGCATACTCATGGCCACTGCCGCCTCGACCTGCTGGGCTCAGGCAGTCCTTCTACCTCAGTCTCCCAAGTATCTGGAACTACAGGCGCACGCCACCACACTCAGCTAATTTTTGATTGATTGTAGAGACGAGGTCTTGCCAAGGTGCCCAGGCTAGTCTCAAACCCCTGGGCTCAGGCATTCCTCTCGCCTCTGCCTCCCAGAGTGCTAGGATGACAGACAGGCTTGAGCCACTGCGCCCAGCCATTTTCTAAATTTTCAAATCAAAAGATCACCCTGGGATTTTATTTTGAATTGCAGTTGTGAAAGTTTCTGGTGGATTTTGATGAGTTGGATCTTCTCTGTGGCAAGGCCAGCTGTCCACCCAGGAGCTGCACAGGATGTTGCATGTTAATTTGCCGTCCTCCAAGTCTTGGCTTTTGGAGAGCCCTGCACGAGTCTTGCCAGCACCTCCAAGGCAACTGGACGCAGGGGCACTGACTTGTGCCTCACGGGCCTGTTAGGGAGCGCATGGCTGATGGAGTCGGATGGGCCTGGCTTTGCCACTTGCCAGCTTTGAGGCTGAGCAGTGACTTCCCTCACTAACCCTCAGTTTCCTCCTCCACGAAACGAGAATAATGTCGTTGGTGTGAAGAGCTGACAAGACGCAGTATTCGGCCTGTAATCACTGGAAAACATGGAGACATCGTCTCAGCACCATCAAGGTATCTCCCTCTCTTGCATCCATATCCGGCCACCCATTCTCTCCCTGTTGTTCTTATTAAATTACTTCTCCTCCTGTCAAGATCCAGTCATTGACACCTTCTTTTGTTCTTATCTCACTTTTTTTTTCCTGAAGCAGGATCTTGCTCTGTCATCTAGGCTGGAGTGCGGGGGCGCAATCAGAGCTCACTGTAACCTCAAATTCTAGCTAATTTTTTAGCCATTTTTATTTTTCGTAGTGACAGGGTCTCTCTGTGTTGCCCAGGCTGGTCTTGAACTCCCGGCCTCAAGCAATCCTTCCGCTTCAGCCTCACAAAACTCTGGAATTATAGGGGTGAGCCACCACACGCAGCCCGTCCTGGCTTTGATGATTTTGGCCTCTTCGCCCCTGTGTCTTCAATCCCTCCCTCGCGAAGGGATCATTCCAGCGGCCTGGAAGCACATCTCCCTGACTCGACGCGTGCAAGTACACCCCTCGTCCCCGCATCCACCGGACAGCTGGGGACGCTGGCTCCCCTTCGCCAGCAGGCTCCTCACGGCAGGGCGGGGTTGCCGGCAGCGTCACGGCGGTCCCGGGGCCTTTCCTCGTGCCTCGCCCCGGGCTGGGAGCTCGGGGGCAAGGCCCGGCCTGTTTCCAGCGCCAGTTTCCCCCTGGCTGCGGGGGAGCCTCGGCGGCGCTTTCGTCGCCGCCGCCGCCACGAACGTTTCCTCCCACGCTGGGGCGACCTGGCGCCGAGGCCGCAGCTCTTAAAACACGCCTTGAGAGAAGGGGCGGGCGGCCGAGTGCGTCGCCAGAACTTCTCTGCCCGGAGTTTCGTGGGCAAGAAAGGGGGCTTCGTTGGCGTCGCTGGAAACAGACTGGGGGGCCACGGAAAGCCCGGCCGGCCGATCCGGCACGCCCCTCTCCCGATGCCCCTCCGCCCGCCTGGCGCGGGGCGCCTTCCTGGCACCGCCGCGCCCACCTCGGCAACACACGCGTCGTGTCTGCCCTCCGCGCCCCCGGGTCCTCGGTTGTCGGCTTGTTGGCTCGGAGCGGGCGTCTCCCTCCGGCCCCGGCCGCTCGCGGCCCCGCAGCCTCCGCCCGCCGGCCGGCGCCCCTTCGCCTCCGCCTTCCGAGGGGCCGGGCTGCAGGCGCGCGCTCCCGCG